GTGTATGTCAGTTCTATTTATTTGTTTCTAGATAGAATAGTTCATAGTTTGAAGTTTTGGTTACCGTTAAAGTCATTTTCTACTTCACTTGGTTCGTTACCAGTTATAAATTTAGAAAATAAATGTTTAAAAATACCATAATCTTATCTTATTTTGTTGGAATTGCATTTAAATTGTATAAAACTTAAGGTTTGGAATCCTGTAGTGGTCAAAGCAAAGTTAATCTCATAAGTTTTAACACAGAGCACCATTCAGACCAGTGAAAGATGTAGACTGGATTTACAAGCATGATACCAGCCAACAAGGATTCTCAAAGTGCTCATAAACACAATCTTTATCTTCATTTACCCTTCTACATTTATTCATACAGGACTTAGTGAGTGTGCTCAGTAAGCAGTAAACTATGGTACACTATATTCATACAGGTAGCATTTCATGTGCAATGTTTTTAATTACATCATTTGGTTTTGTGTATCTTTTACTGTCTGTTTACCCTGGATTCATATCCTGCTTAGGGCCCCAAAAGTCTAGGCCCGGCCCTTCTGCAGAGTGTCGCATGTAAAGATTGTTTCATCTCTTCCATTCATTTAAAAACAAGCTTCCCATAAACACAACTCTGACTCAGCAAAAAAATAAATAAATAAATAAATAAATAAAAATAAAAATAAAAATAAAAACTTGCTTTCTAGGAAGCCACTTATTGTAATGACAATTGTACTTCAATCTCATAATTGCTGCAACTATACAACAATAGGTCAAATTAGTGACCATTAGTGAGTCAGATTTTTATTTCTTATATATCAATCTTCTGATGTCATTTAAACATAAAACTAAATGTGATAAACAGCAGTGGTAAATGAGACTTTTATTCTCCTTTTCAGTTTTTGTTTAGGAGTGAATTTTGCTGCTACTCACCACATTTGGGATAAGCTGCCAGCATGATGTCATCCTCTCTGGCCTTGATGTTATCCAGGCACTTGAAATTCTCCTCGGGACACATGAGAGTGGGGTACAGCACCCCGTTAAATCTGTACAGCTTCTCCTCTTCAGTCATTGCTTTGGCCTTCTCTAACCTGGCCTGCATCCTGGCTTTGAACATGTCGTCGCTCATCCTGGTGTTTGACAGATCAGAAACTAGGGGCAAGAACTGAAAAGTTGCTGCAGCTCCAAGGATTCAAGAGAAAGCAGAACACAAAACTGCCTTCTGCTGAGTTTCTGATTAAATAAACTAGAGAGACAGGAAGTGGGAGTGTTCAGTAGTACAAGGAGGAGGAGGAAACACAGAACACCTCCTCTGAACATACTGTACTGGTACATGCAGGAAGATGTGTTCATTCACAAACACAGCTGCTCTCTCTAAATCAGACATTTGTGGACCTTAGAGTGTTTCAGAAAACTCAGAGTAAAATAAATGTGGAGATTTAAAAGCAGCTCATGAGGTCAGTGCCAGAGATGTTTTTTTTAAAGAACTAAAAGTTTGCTTTTCTTCATGGTCCTGTTAAAAAAAAACAATGGAGCAACTTGCAAAAACTCTGAACTGGAATAAAAAAGTATAACTCAAAACAAACAATCCATTTGGGTCTGTTAAATGAAAAAAAAATATTTTTTTGCCATAAAATAAATAAATTGTAAAAACAAAAACAAACAAAAAACCCTGGGTTGTGGAGTTTTGTCAAGCTAAAAGTCTTTATGGCTGTGAAAAACAGGAAATATGACCACTGTGAACATTACATTAAAGTATAACTGACCCCAAAATCAACTTTTCTTTTCTTTTTTTTTTTTTTTTCAGATGAACTTGTGCCTTCAGGTTTATTTCTGAAGGATGGATGTTCTAAGGCTAAAAAATATTTTTATTTATTAATTAAGCTTTCGCCATAAGATAAAACAACTGTAAAATAAAAAAAATAATAAAAAAGAAAGAAAAAAACTGGATTGTGGAGTTTTTTTCAAGCAGACTGCCTTTTTGGCTGGGAAAAGACAGGAAAAATGAATGTTCTGAACATGAATACTCATTAAATATGAAAGTTACAGTAATATTGAGGCTTTGTGATTGTATACTGGTCCATTGCTTTAGAAACATCCTTGTTTTCTCAGTTTTTTAATTTGATATTCAATCAGTTCAAATCCAATGAATAGCTTGAACGTGTACATAGCTGAGCTGCCAGAGGTTTAACTGACCCAAAACTGAAAGTCAAGGTGTCTGTGAGTCCAGTTTCCTTCATCATTATCACAAACTGGAGGTGTGGCAGACCCAACTCTGGATTCCCAGAACATCACTCTACTTCCTCCATGTTTAACAGTTGTCACACTGAGAAACTGTACAAAAGTCCTGCTGATGAACTGCAGCTTTGTTTTTACCAGTCAACACCTTGTTCCAGTCTGGTCCACTGCTGCTGTTTTATCTTATTTTGTGTTCTTAGAGTTGCTTCTCTTGCTGCAACTCATCCAGTCAACCTGCAGCTTCAAGTCTTCTCTTCACAGATAAAACGGACTTGGCTTGACTACTGCAACTCCCTGTTTACTGGAATCCCCAGCAAAAACATTCAGAAGCTTCAATATATTCCAAACAGTGCAGCCAGGCTCTTACTGAGAGCTAAATCTGAACATATTACACCCATTCTCCATAGACTTCACTGGCTTCCTATCACCCAGAGAATTCAGTAGAAGATAGCTCTCACTACCTGTCGGTGCATAAACAGAACCTCACCTGATTATCAGTAACAGAACAGCAATCTCCTCTACCTTTCACAAACCAAATTAGGGAACATGGGAGCCTTGTCATGTTTTGGGCTGCTCCATCTCTTCCTGCCCCTCTGTCACTCTCACTCAGCTCCTCTGATTACTCCTTTCCTCCTCACCTGTGCCACAGCAATCAACCTCATCTGCCTCACCTGTCCTCCCTCCTATTTAAGCTCCCTTCCTTCACTCAGCCTTTGCCAGATTATTGAACGGTTCGCCCAGTAGATGTCCAGCGCTTGCATGCCCATGCCTGACTGATCTCTTGTTGTTGACCCACTGCCTGTCTCCCGATCTCTGCCTCCTGCCTGTTCCTTGCCTGATACTGATACTGACGCTGACTCTGATCTCTGGCTTTTGGCACCGTTTCTGTTCTCTGGACCCTGCCTTTTGGATTACGATTTGGATTCTTTTCTGGCTCTCTGATCACCTGGCTCTGACCTTGGACCGCTACTGGATCCCCTGACGCCTCTCGCTTCCCCTGGACCCAAGTCCTCTGGGACCAACATCTGTGGACTCACCCAGACTAATGTGTCTACAGTTAAAAGAGTGTGCCACCCAGAGGGACCAGAGGTTCCTCACATAACAGTGAAATAATAAACCTTTTAAACCTGTTTTTGTCTTCAGTGGTCCTGAATCCAAAAACCCCTTCTGACAAGCCTCCTGTCTTTGGAACTCCCTGTCTGAAAATCTGAGATCTCTGAAATCTTCTGTTGACTTTTAAAAAAGCTTAAAGATTTTACTTGTTTTAGTGTGATTTGCTGTTCTGTAGCACTTTGAGATTTTTGCTAATGAAAAATGCTTTACAAATTAAATTTATTATTAGGAAGGCACCGATATAAAAATTTCAGTTGATATTCAATTATTATTGGTGTTATGGCCGATAACTATTTTACAGATACTACACAAATTATTTATTTACATTTAAAATCAATCAAGTTAAACAAATCAAACAAGTTTATTTGTAAAGCACATTTCAGCAACAAGGCAGTTAAAAGTTCTGTACATCATAAAAACGGTCATAAAACGGTTAACAATTGCAGCAACACAGTTTGTCAAGTACCATTGTTACACATCAAAATATTGATGTTTCATAAACATCGAACCAGGTGGGTTTTCAGTCTTGATTTATTTTAAAGGAACACAAATGTGTCTTTTTTTCGATGCCATTAAAAAAAAAAAAACCCACCAGACAGCTAACATGTCTCTCTACTTCAGTTCCTGGCTGCACAGCGTTACCATCATGATAAAACAAACTGCTCGACCAACCATCTCCCCTCCCAAAACAGAAACACAAAGAGCAACAAGTGGTAAATCAGTATCGGACATTAATATCGGCCCAACTTGACTTATACCAGTGTGTTAAAAAATGATCAATAATGGCTGATACCAATGTTAATGCCTATCGTGTATCCCTAATTATTAGTCTTGGCTTCTACAACCACTATGAAGCTGAGGGCCTGTGAGACTACTGTCATACACGCTGTGTCTCAGAAACTTGTCCTCTGATGCTCCTGTGGCTCTGAGTCTGCCTCGTCCCCTCAGAGTTTCCACTAGTTTCAGTTCATATGCTCTAAAATATAGAGGAAGGGGTAAAAAGAAATACTACAGTGCTGATCTATTTTGCCATGTCCAGTGTAATTTGTTTATGTAAATATGTTCATGACACATGAATTTTGGTGCGAACTGAAACAATGCATGGATTCACTTGTTTTTAGTGAAAAGGCAAGCTAAGGGAAATTTGTCGCCCTGTCACAGACATGTGCTGCAACAAGTCTTTTTATTGTCAAGCAGAATTAAATTATCTGTTTTCTGATTCATTTTGGAGTCACTTTGCTCAAATAAGTCAGAAGAAGGTCCTTAAACACTTCCTGTTCACAGATGAGGAATTCATGGACATTACAAGTTGAGGTTTGAACGGTAAAACATGAAGTTTGCTGTGGATCAGATGTTTTATAAGAAGTTTAGGTCAGTGCAATGGTTTGAGCTGGTGCCTCACAGTGAGGTTTTGTTCCGGTTGTTTCCTCCAATACCATGTTAGGTGAATTCGCTACTCTAAACTGTCACAAGGTGTTAATAACAGTGTCACCGGATGTTTCTATACACATGGACACATTGTTGGTAACCCCTGTCAATGGTCACAGAAATAACTAGAGTCTGACAAAAGTAATAAATAAAATTTATATGAAAATGAACAACGGAAAGTCAGACATTGCTTTTCTGCCATGCTTCAACAGAATAAAAAAACCTCATGAAACAGGACTGAACAGAAATGGGGGTACCACTGAAAATAATGTGACCAAAGGGTCATGTTAAATCAAGGTGTGTCCACTAATTAGCATCATAGTTGTTTACAGCAGGCCAGGCCAACCAGTAGATCGGGATCTACCGGTAGATCTTTAGCTGGTTAGCAGTAGCTCACGGAGCAATGGATCACGGAGCTTGTAAAATGCAACATTGTTTACCACTGCAGCCTTAAACGCGCCCTTCGCAACATTTGTTTAACATTGCAGTCTTCAACGCACTCTTTGCAACATTTGTTTAACATTGCATTCTTGAACGCGCTCCAGTCTCGCTAGTTTTGGGTGCTGTGAAACAGCACTCCGAGCAAGGTCTTGCAAGATTAGGGTCATGTATTAAAACATGGCAGCGAGGCAGGAAAAACTGATGAACGAAAGACAGCTAACAAGCAAATAAAAACTTATTATTTTCACCTGGAGTGGGAAGAGGACTCATATGTAATTCGAGCGCTGCCTTGGCTTGTCCAAAAAGGATAACGTGGAACAGCATTTCTTTCAAAAGAATGCACAGACGCTACAAGGCGGATTTCCCCTCCTAAGGTAGGGCTGCTATGCTAATGCAGCCCCGTACCTGCCTCACCACACGTCTTTCAGCAATGACGAAGTTATGAAAGAAGCGTTTGATGCTGCAGACGTGCTTTTCCGTGATTTTAAAAGTAAAAGTGAGATTGTGGCTGCTATAAAGACGTGCAGTTGTCCACCAGGATGGATGGATGTGTCCAAATTCGTGTCCATGTTTCAGTCTGGACTGCTCTGGGTTGAAAATKAGGTTTTGACTCTGCAAAATGACATTGGGGTCAATTCCAGAGCAACAAGTCACATGGATGGAGATTTCTGGAGTCTGCTTTCTTTCACATGAAAATTATCAAGTCCAAGAACAGATCCACAAAGACTGGTGATCATCTGGAGACCTGCTTACACCTCAGCCACCTCATACTGCCTGTCTATGAGACCCTGACCTCCTCTCAGTGTCAGAAGTCCCACTAAGGTAGACATACATTTTTTTACATTATTTATTTATACATTATTTTTATATAGCTTGCATAAAAAGTTGTCTCCTCTAGACTTGTCACAATGTGTCTGTATGTTGGTTTTTTTTTTATTACATTTTAGACCAGACTAGTGTGTTATACACTGACTGGCACCTTTGTGTTATTTATTTATTTATTTTGTAGTTTGGGTGTGCCCTTGTTTTCCGTACCTAGTGTGGCTGTGTGTGTCTTGTCTGATAGGTGGTGAACCAGGTGGAACTCTTTGAATGGTCTGGAGCCGGCAGTCTGGACCAGTGAGGGACTGAGCTCTTCAACACCTACAGATGACACCATCCTGCATGCTGCAGATTGAGGTTTGAAATAGTTGTTAGAGATATGTGAATCTGCACCAGCGTAAGTCACTTTTTGTAATAGTATAAACGAAAGATTCCGGGCACGTCCCACCGGGAGGAGGCCCCGAGGAAGACCCAGGACACGCTGGAGGGACTATGTCTCTCGGCTGGCCTGGGAACGCCTTGGAGTTCCCCCGGAGGAGCTGGAAGAAGTGGCTGGGGAGAGGGAGGTCTGGGCCTCCCTTCTGAAGCTGCTGCCCCCGCGACCCGACCCCGGATAGGCGGAAGAAAATGGATGGATGGATGGATGGATGGATAAACGAAAGAGTTTTATATTGTCTGCTTTGACTTTAGTTTTTTGTTTTGTTTTTCCTCCCCTGTATGGAGAGAAAGAGGAGAGTTCTTTGAATAAATGGAGACAAGTTCCCCTTCTCCAAAGTTATTTGACTCTGTGGTTCTCGCACTGGACAGGTTTCCAGCCCTCATCGCTCGCACGTTACAGGGAGTACTAACTGAAAGAGGTAAAAAAAATTATCCTTTTTGTTCGAGCATCACTTTCCTGTTTCTCTGTCAGGAGTCAAGTAAGGATTTTATCTTTTCTTTTTTTTTCTCGGTAAATATATGGTTCAGTAGATAGTTTTGTTTGACAATACTTTCAATTAAATAAAACTAGCAACACATTACGTTCTGTTTTATTTACTTTAAATAAGTGAGGACTAGGGAGACGAAAAAATATGTTTTTTGATACTGAGACTGGACGAGTAGATCTCGGCAAACTGCCGACTTCAAAAGTAGCTCTTGGTTCAAAAAAGGTTGGGCACCCCTGGTTTACAGTCTTGTAATCAGTCAGTGGGCCTGTTTATATAGGGCTACAGATACTCACAGTGCTGTTTGGTGACATGGTGTGTACCAAACTCAACATGGACCAGAGGAGGTGAAGGAAAGAGGTGTCTCAGGAGATTAGAAAGAAAATTATAGACAAGCATATTAAAGGTAAAGGCTGTAAGACCATCTCCAAGCAGGTTGATGTTCCTGTCATTACAGTTGCACATATTCAGAAATTTAAGATCCATGGAGCTGCAGCCAACCTCCCTGGATGTGGCCTCAGGAGGAAAATTGATGACAAATCTAAGAAATGGATAATATGAATAGTAACAAAAGAGCCCAGAAAAACTTTTAAAGAGATTAAAGGTGAACTTCAAGCTGAAGGAACATCAGTGTCATATCACACCTCCCGTCACTGTTTGAGTCAAAGTGGGCTTAATGGGAGACGACCAAGGAGGACACACACACAAAAAAAAGCCTGACTGGAATTTGCCAAACTACAACTTGACAAGCCACAAAGCTTCTGGGAGAATGTCCTATTGACAGATGAGACAAAACAGGGGAAAAATGAAGCATATTAAGAAAATAACACTGTCCTACTGTGAAACATGGAGGAGGTCTGTTATGGTCTGGGGCTGCTTTGCTGCATCTGGCACAGGGGGTCTTGAATCTGTACAGGGTACAATGAAATCTCAAGACTATCAAGGATTCTAGAAAGAAACGTGCTGCCCAGTATCAGCAAGCTTGGTCTCAGTCACAGGTCACGGGTCTTCAACTGGATAATGATCCAAAACAACTAAAAACACCCAAGAATGGCTCAGAGGAAAACATTGGACTAATCTGAAGTGACTCAACTTAGCTTGGGAGTAATAAAGGGGAGTTTTGAGGGAAAATAGGTTGGGAACTACTGAACATATAAAACAGGTGTTATGAAAACAATTATTCACAAAACAGTGAAACACTGCTGCATATTGGTGAAATCAAGACACTGCAAATGGTAAATGGATTGTACTTATATAGCACCTTTCTATCCATCCAGGACACTCAAAGCGCTTCACACTACAGACATTCACATGACCCTGTCACAGATCATTTTTTTTAGTTTAGAATATTTATTCATTTCATTTAAAAACAAACAAAACATTACAAATAAAATTAAATTAAAGGCAGCAGAAGAAGAAAAAGATCTTGATATCTGCTCCTTTTTACAAAGAATATTAATTTCAAACAATAAACCAAATAATAAAACAAAACAAAAATTCAACTCCTCAAACAGTGACTCATACAAATACAAATTAAACAATTTCATTTTGCTTTAACAATTTTGCTTTGATCATTTTTAAAGGAATTAATTGATCCAATGCTTTTATAATCATTTTCCAGATTATTATATGGTGTTTTACAGCAGCCAGCTCACTTTGTTGTACAAGGACAGCTGAAAAGACCTGTTATTTCCCCACTGTGGGATCAATAAAAAGTTTTTTTTATCTTATTTTTCCCCACCTTTTGCACCAAATTAATCTGAGGAGTTGATCAGTCCTGCTGTTTAACTCTTAAGTTTTTCTTCGTAAGGAAGACTATCAAATGGCTTCACYTAAATCTGGTCCACAACATTCAAACTGTCTGCCATTTGTGCAGCTTTTTACCTATCTAGCTCGCTGGCTGGGACTGGTGCGAGGCTAGAGTGAAGTGTGTCCGTCTGTGAGTGCTTTATGACGGTGGAGGGGCTCAGCAGCCCCCACTGGACAGAAGAAGTCAGAAAAAGTGATAGAAGTCTGTCTCCAAACACAAGCAGCTACAAAACAACCACCAGAAATAGAAGCTCGATTTGTCGCTAGTCGTTTTTAACAAAGAAAATGCTGCTAAAAGGATTAATAAAGTCTCAGGTTCAACTCAGAACAGAAACGAAACTAAAAAAAGCTCCCACTGAATGTTTACACCAAAAGATCGCTGATTCACTCATTTCACTGTCAACCAAAAAGAGACTCAGCCTCCTGACAGATCATCCAATCATCATGCAGAAGCTGAGCGTCCGGGCCGGCGGAGGCCAGCCCACTGTCCCATAGACCTCCAGAGGCGCTCAGCGTCCAATGGGTGGGACAAAGCCAGCATTTATCCAATGACTTGTCTCGTTTCGCTGCAGTTTTTGCATCGCTAATGATCTCTGTGGAAGCTCAGCGTCTGACTGTTTAAAGCTCTGTGAAGCTGCGGGAATGAGTGAAAGTCGCATCGTTACCAATGATAAGAAGCTGATTCTGAACAAAAGTTGAGCACATTATAGCACATATTTAGTCAATGACATGTACTCACAACAGTATACAGTATATTTGATCTTTTTTTTTTACATTTTAGGGGAAGCTGAGCTTCCCTTGCACTCTTTGAGCAATTGCCTCTGATATATACTGTATATATATATATAATACCAAATCCTCCAAATGCTTTTCCCTTCAGCACAATGTTGTGTTTACAGTTTGTCTTGCCCCAAAGGAGGCAGTGGTCATGTCCCCCTAGTGGTCTGGCTTAGTTACTGTTTGTAATCGATCTTTTTGGTGTTCCATGCATAATGTCTGTTATCCTTGGGGTAAAAGAATTGTACTTGTAAATTTGTGCTTCGTACTTGTAATGTTGTGAAATTGTAACTTTGTAACTTGTATTTATAACTTTTAAACTTGTATTCTCACAGAAAACATATTTGATTTTACATGAATACAAATACAAATCTAACATTTATGCACGTTTATTGACTTACATGTACAAATTTAGACTCTTACACATACAATTCTTTCTGACAGTTCTGTTATCCCAGACCCTATATAATAAATCAAAATTGATTAAAAAAAGGAAAACAGTCAGATGTTGACTTAAGGGACTGCTGATGTGCCTCAATGATAAACCTTTTGACATCTAAATGTTCTTCTCATATTTCATAAAGGGCTCAGCAGTTCAAGAAATCAACATAAAATTAAAGACCATACAAGCTGTTGACTCATCCAGTTTAAGCACTCACACATGTGGCTCTGTAGCTTAGTGGGTCAAAGCGTCTGTCTTGTAAACAGAAGACCCTGGATTCAAATCCCAGCAATGCCTGGTGTGAGATAATATTTGTTTCCCTGTTGGACAGTCTTGATTATAAACTCCTACAACCTAGAAAACCACAGAGTGTAGATGTCACAAGTGTTTGCATTTCACTTTTAATCTAATTTAGTTTCAACACTGAATCTTGAATGATTATCTTGTTTGAGTTCAAAACACAGTTCTAATGTACAGCTGTACCTCTCTTTATTCGTTTGTATGAAATTATTGTTTTTTTAACTTGATAAATGTCCTAAAATCAGTTGTTGCTTCTAACAGCACACAGTTTTCTTCCTAAGCATTTGTTGACATTTAAAGTTGTGTTCACAGATTTTTGACCAAGAGTAAAACAATCAAATTTGAAATGCGGGGAAAAGTTTTTTGTTTCTACTTATTCAGTGGATGAATTTAAAATTCAAAATATTTTTCATTGGATAACTTCATTCAAATAAACATAAAAAAACATGTTTGTAGAATATTTATTAAAAAAATTGTTCTTGCTTATAATTTAAAAACTTTATTATGACAATAGCTATATTTACATGCACAAAATTCTTTGATTGGATTAAAATGTATTCAGATTAAATAATCGGAATGTACTGTATTGTTTACATGGGCACAATCTGATCATGATGAGTGTTTACATGCACCAGGCTTTTATTCAGAATAGAAGCACTGACATGCACAGCTGCCAACTTTCCCTTAAAAAAACACCGAAAAAAGTTCTACTTTGATCATGAAGATAAACAAACAGTTTCTGAGCTCAGAATGGACCTGTGACAGGTTTTAATAATGGAGATGTTACTGCACTGTCTGCTTGAGCTACAGGTGATGCACAGACTATTTTTTTTGCGAAGCGGCGCAGGTTGTGTGTTACGACGGAGTATTAGGGCCACACAACTAGACTTTTTAATTTTTTTAAATTACGAGAATGAAGTCATAATATTACGAGATTAAAGTCGTGATATTACGAGATTAAAGTCGTAATAAAATTAGTTTAAAGTCACAGTATTATGAGATTAAATTCGTAATATTATGAGTTTAAAGTCATAATATTATATTACAACTTTAATCTCATAATATTACGACTTTATTCTCATCAAATTACGACTTTAATCTCGTAATAAAAAAAATCTTGTGTGGCCCTAATACTCCGTCGTAGTGTGTCTTCCTTTTTACTGAATGAGAAAACGGAGGAAAAGTGCAGCGTTGCTGCCCCTCCCTCCTCAAAACAGCAGAAACAGGTGGATGAAAGTCAGCAGACATGAGCAGTCAGGTCAGTTTTCCACAATCGGAATAAGATGATCGGATTAAGTGTTTACAACATGCACGTCGTTCGGATTATCAATCGGCACAAACCACCTCTCTCATTCCTATTACAAATTCATTCGGATTGGACTGAATCGGGTCAGAATAATCCGAATGGGGTGTTTACATGACGCATTTTTATTCTGAATGGCCGTTTAATCTGATTACTTATGTCCATGTAAACAAAGCTAGTGTTTTAAATGATTATCCTTAGTCCTGAGCTTCAGAGAGTTTGGACTCTGTTCAGTCTAAATGAAGTTTAAACATCAGGACACCTCTCAGTGTGACCAGCGCTCTGATCTTCCTCTCTTTTAGCTCCTCTTCCTCTCGTCTTGTTTCTTATTGACAGTAGTACTTGTAGTTCAGTTTGTCTCCCAGCTTTGTTCCTGCCAGGTGTTTGTTGAAGGCTTCGTCCATCTCTTGGCTCTGTTCAGGAGTAAAATGGTTCTTCCAGTCTCCCACTTCACCTGGACAAGAACAAAAACACTCACAGGTAAACAGTACTCAGGTTTGCTGCTGCCACCACTACCCAAATATAGACAGCGCATTGTTTGCATTTTTGTGCTCACTTTCAATTCATTGCTTCAGAAAACAAAACTTGCATTTCTTACTTCAGAAACATCTTTTTCCCCATTAAACTTTTCATTACAACGTTTAACATCATATTATAGGGTTTGTGGATGAATTTGTTCAAATTAGAATATGTGAAAGAAATTTAAAACTAGAAATATCTGAAGAAATATTTGAACGGTACTATCAGCTACAGCCTTGTAAAAATTTAGGACTCTTGTTATGAAGAGTGAACAAGTCTGAGTCTTTTTCACGAATGAGGGAAGAATGGAGCGGGAGATCAATAGGCGGACTGGTGCTGCGTCTGCAGAGATGCGGGCGCTGTGCCGATCTGTCGTGGCCGTGGGTCTACGTTCCTACCCTCATCTATGGTCACGAGCTTTGGGTAGTGACTGAAAGAACGAGATCACAGATACAAGCAGCTGAAGTGAGTTTCCTCTGCAGGGTGTCTGGGTTCTCCCTTAGAGATAGGGTGAGAAGCTCAGTCATCCAGGAGGGACTCATGCTACGTTCACACGAACGCATTTTGAGCAGCAGGAGTGGCTGGTTTACATACAAAGTCTATGGCGGCGCGCCTCTAGGGGTCATGCGTCGCGTCACGTACATTTTGGGCGGCACGCAAGGAAGGCGGAAGGGGCCGCAGAGCATTTTCCGCGCATGCGGTGCTGCGGTTCGTTGAGAGGGAGGTACTGTGAGGATGTGTGTTTGGTTGTTTTTGTTGTTTCACTGTGTTTCCACCCTTCAGTTATCCTCAGCCTAATTCCTTGCCATTTCTCAGTTAATCATCCTCACCTGTTCAATCTTCTCCAATCAGTTCTGCCCCCAGGTGTTCTTCATTTCCTCATTCCCTCTGTTAGTTTAAAGACTGGTGATTTACTCCACACCCTCGCTGGTTCATTGTTTGATGTCTCATCATCTGTTTTGGTTCTCCCCGTCGTCTCATTGTTGTTTCTTAGAGTTTGTTAGTTGCTGCCTCGTCAGCGTTTTGTTCTACTTTTATAATAAACATTTTCATTTTTTGAAACTTTAATTTTCTGTCTGGAATTGGGTTCATTCTCCTCACTAAACCTAACAACCGGGGGTGTAAATCAGCCGATTTGTCACGATACAATATTATATCAATTTGTTTGGATGATGATTCAATATTTCTTGTTCTCACAAAGTCTGTCAGGACAGATTTCAATTCAGTTCACAAGTCTGCGATCGATATGATGTGATGTCAAAAGTCTATCTAACACAATGATTGTTTTAGACAGTTATTTATTACTGATCCACATTGGACATATGATGACGATATGGATTAATATTTTCATTGTCTCGACAAAATTGAATCATTGATCATTTTATCGATATATCAATAAGGATCCGTACGTCTCACCTTTCCTGAAGATTACTTGCCCCATGTTGCCGTGGGAATTAACTGAGCTCTCTTTCATGGCGTTAAACGAGCTCGCTCCTGTGATCTGCTGGATCTGAGCGTCCGTCAGGCTGAAGCCGAAGAAGGTGGAGATCTGACGGACCCCTGAGGTCAGGTCCTGCAGGACAACAAACACAACCAAGGCTCAGTAGTCCATGGGCCAGACCACATGGACGTACCTATCCACTACCTCTCCACAGTAAAAAATCCCAGGGGAGAGGAATGTTTGGGTTGTTCTCCTGGACCTGTGAGCTCCAAGAGTTATTAACTATATGTGCGACCTAATACTTTCAAGTTGAAATATCATGTAGGAATCATAGAAAACCAAGCAAGAGTTTATCACTCTGGCCAGAAATAATTCTGGCCTAAACCTGTGACTTTTAATTAAAGGGATCCCTGATTAGTTGCAACATTAGACTTTATTTGATAAACATTTATTTTAACTGTAAAATAAAGACTGTAAAAATACTGTAGGATGTTCAGTTTTTATAATTTTTAAACTAAAAGTTTAAAAATATATTACACGGACAGGGCCATTTTATTTACACGCAAAGCATTCTGGGTAAATGATGATGTGGGTAGGTCATCAGTGCAAGGCTGCTAGCGAGCTATATCCACCCTGAAGGTTAATCTTGGACAATATCTGATGATTGACGACCATATATATGTATTAGCTCAGCGCTACACATTCTCCTCTCGTCACTGAGGTCCTCCATCCACATGACAGAGAGGGGAACACAAAAATGACTCAGCCTGTAACTGAAAATATGGATGGAGGACCTCAGTTTAGCTTGTTTGTCGCACTAGCGCCGAGCTAATACATATAAGGCAATATAGCATCAGCGCTAGCGCAAAGGCTAACAGGCTAAGCTGAGGTTCTTCTTCCATGAAGCAGCTCTGTTGTCCTCCATCCATATTTTCAGTTACAGCTGAGTCATTGCTACCTTCTCCTCTCTGTCAGCGCTCTCTGGTTTCATTTAAAAGAGTCGATCATCAGATATTGTCCAAGATTAACCTTCAGGGTGTCTATAGGTCCCTAGCAGCCTCGCACCAATGACCTAATTGATGTCGTCATTTACCCAGAATGCTTTGCGTGTAAATAAAATGGCTCCGGCCGTGTTAAAATATATTTAAAAAAATTTACAAATCTAAACAGCCTACAGTATTTTTACAGTCTTTATTTTACAGTTAAAATAAATGTTTGTCAAATAAAGTCTATGTTACAGCTAATCATGGATCCCTTTTAAGGCTCACAATCACCTCTTACAAACAGACAGTTTGGGTATGTTTATACATTTCCTGGACCCTTTGAGTCCTGTGCATAACGCAGTTGACTCTTTTGTCCCTGATGCTCCAGGGCTATGTTGATCTTGGCTTAAACGAGACAAGAGGTTCCCCTTTGAAATACCAAACATTTTTTATAGACCTTTGACAAATATCCGTAACCATGAGTCTAAACAAGATATACACCAGTGTCAAAAATGCAAATTTATCTTAAGGGGTTGTTAACTTCATGAGCTGATAACTGTGACTAACCTGCCTATATCATCTACAGACATGTACACTTTCAAAACTCATGAATATTTTTTACAACCCTGAGATGGACCAAAGAGAAAAATTGAATTTTACAGGTGATCTTGTTGTTTTCGTTTCAATCTACAATTTGTGAGAATGAGCCAAAGCTTCTGAGGGTTCGACCTGTTTCAGTTCTTCGTACGTGACGACCAGGACTTGTGGGTCGTCCATCCTCTTGTCCCAGGCCAAGGCGTGATCAAAGTATGACCCCCAGGCAACTGCAACAAATATGAAATAAAACAGGTTAAAAATACTCAGAAACATCACACAGTTTTAATAAATCTGAGGGTTGACGAGTCAGAGGATCTGTTCCATGCCTTCTTCAGAAGTCAAAGCTGTGTGAAGTAGCTCATTTTAGCTTTCTGGAACCGAAGGGCAACATTAGGTGGTTAGAGCTGTTTCTAGCTAAATGTGGACTGTGTGTAATTAATATGAGCTAACATGTTTGTATCCCAGTGTTAGTATCATGTGTTGGTGTTTTTCAGTCACAACAAATTTAGAAAAAGATGAAGCAACTGTAAAAGTCAGATGAAATATAAGACCAATCAGACTGCAGTTACTTTATAAACCATGGGATTTGTATCTGTGTAAAAAATGACCTGGGTTGGATTTGAAAGAAGAAAAAAAAAAAAGGATTTGTCCCGTTCATATTGTCACATAGAGAATTACAAACAAGCAAGCAAAAAAGGATTTGGGTCACTTCAGCCTGCAGTGTGAATGTAGTTTTACTCACCATTTCCACTCATGAAGTCAGTGAAGAAAGAGTCCCAGGACACTGATGGCAGGACCGGGTTATTGTTATAGAAATGAAAATACGAAACCAAAGTGTCTTTTGGGTTCCTGAAGACCACCAGCATCTAGAAAACAAAAAATAAATTACATTCTACTTAAAAAAAAAAAACATAAAAATAGTTTCTACTGCTAAACTTGTAATTTTTGTGGATCAAGAAAAAAAAATACGAAACCAAAGTGTCTTTTGGGTTCCTGAA